AATGGGAAGAAAAACTGGGGCGATGGGAAGACACCACAGCTCGAGGGGATTGAGGCATATATGGATATTCGTTGTTGGGAGATATTCAAGTTATGCTTGCAGGAGTCTTTGAAGTTTCACGGCTCTTGGAGTATGCCCCGGAACCTCCTACAAACTGTTCAGTTTGTTGCCAGAGATTTACTGTCACTGCTAGAAGACACCTGTATTAGTTCAGGAGAAGTTATTATATCCGAAGAAAGGTTTAAACTGTATGGTACCGCTATTGATTGTGTATCGTTGGTATTCTTGTCGCATGGTGGGTTGTCAAATAAAAACTTGGACTTGTGGGTTGAGACAGCCAAGGTGTTGCTTGATCTTGTGCTGAAAACTTATAACAATAGCCTTGATGACAGCAATGTCGGTGCCCTTGCACAACGCTTTCTGTGGTCAGTGCTTCTGCCATTCTCTAAGTTGAGTGTCCAGCGAGCTAAGAAAGGATTTCATAATTTTGTGGATAAACTTCTCGAGCCGCTATTGCATTTATCTAGTGAGTTGCATCTTCGGGTTAATAGAAGTAATCCCATTTGGATGTCGAGATTAAAAGAGGCAGTGGAAGAAGTTCTTGCTCATGGCCTTTTTCATCAAGTGCATATTTCTGAGTTTTTAAGCCTACATGGTTCAGAAAATGATGTTACTGCATGTGATGAAAAATCAAATGACTCAAAAACAACCATTAAGAGTTATACTAGACATTTATTTGATGTACTGAATAGAATTATAGCTAGGAAGAATGCTATGGCAATGGGTAGCTTAGGCTTGTTATTTCATTTATATGCTACTTCAGCAAGAAAATTCAAACTGGATGAAGGGCTCAAGACAACAGAGAAAATAGGTGATTCAAGGCAACCAGTGCTAGGAAAACATTCTAACTCAAATAATATTTCTGCAGACATTCAAAAATCACTTTTTAATTTTTTTGTACTTATTATGGAACCCCTTTTGCTGAAGATTAATGCCTATATTGAAGTTGAAGTAGATGCCAATACCCTGTTGTTGGATCTTCATGGTTTACTAAAGTCTATTGGTAATTTGCTTGCTAGTTTTATGCGAGAGAAAGTTTATTTGAGAACAGAAGATACATCTGGAGGAGCTTGTCTCAATTTCTTGAAGAAAATATTTAAGACACTGATAACTAGTTCTACTAGTGTACTCCATTTCTCCAATTATGATACAACTAACAAGATGGAGATATATGTTTTGCCTGCTAATGAGATTCTAGTCGCTATGGGATATCTTTTGCAGATTGGATATGAGGTTATTGGTGAAGGCTTGGTAAATTTATGGCTTCTTATCTTGTCATTCTCTGCCATTAATTGCAATTTGGGGAATGCTTTTGATCAATGCTCGTTACCTTGTGCTATACCTGCCCTGGAGTGCCAAACAATTCATCTCTACAGTCAACTACGCCAGGTTCGTATTAAAATTTTTATTACTGGTCATTTATATTTTATTTTTTCTCACCAGATCCCTGTAGAGCAATTTATGTTTCAGAGGTTCTGCATGGTTCCTCTTTGTTGGTGGTTTTATTCCTTTGTATCTTAGTCTCTTGGTGTTATTATAGGTATGATGTTTGGAATGGGGCAGGGGATGATGTTCGGGTGTAGGGAAATCTTTCATAAACTATTGTATTTTTGCTTTAATTCAGCTTATGTTGTATTTGTCTGCTTCTTATTGTTCTTATTGTCCTCCAAGACTTGAATTGGAATCAGGCTTGTTCTTTACATGTTTAAAATGCTATAGGTGGAAGTTGCTATTTTAGCACTGTGCAAAGCTATAAGGCTTATTATATGTCCTGAGGGTTATACTGAAGAAAGTTCTTCTAGGTTCTTGACATTTCTGTCTAATGAAGTTCATTTTGAAGCAGTTGAAAGGCTCTTATCTTCACAGAATTTCATTCATGCCATTTATAAAGCTGTTGAATCTATTCCAGAAGGGCAGGTGTGTGGCTGTATTAGACAGATAAGAGATGATATTTCAGAATCTCTCATGTGGATGAAAGATTTCTGTCCATTGGTTGATGGCAAGAAATTGCAATTTTTTAATCTGCAAGTGGAACTGTTTGGTAAAGGGCTATCCAGACTATATTGTTTAGTGCTTGGTTCGGTGACAGTCACTGATGGTAACCGCAATCTTTTTGGAGTTTCCGTAAAAGAACTTATGGAATTAATGCGTCCCTACTTGAGTATTCTAGTTGGAAAGCAGCAAGATACAATCTGCAAGTTCTTTTCTTCTGTCACAGGTCAAACTGTTGATCGAGTGGTTAGAAAGGGAAACTTTTTAAAGAAATTTGGTATGTCCAGCCAATGGGTTCTTGTGTTCTTCTTTCAGTTGCATGTGTCTTGCCAAACCTTATATAGGCAAGCAAGCCTTATGCCTCCTGATTTGCCAAAAAAGTCTGCAGAGGTGGTAGATTACACAGCATATTCTGCTTGTGAGTTGATGGACAGGATTGATGAGATAGACTTCGGNTTGCTAGACCGCTCGTTCATTCTTAAAGCAAAGAAAAAGGAGCTTCTCCAATCAAGCCCATCTCCATGTGCACTCCCATAATTTAAATCCACACCTCCTCACTCATTTTAGTTTAAAGTATATTGATGTGGCATTTTCTTTTGACCTCCAAATGTTCCAAATTGTATTAACAACATTTTCCCTGCAATTAATAATGCAAATAATTTGCTTAAATAATCCAAATTAATTAAAATTAGAATTTTTGGTCAAATTAAGCATAATTAGTAAAATTGGGAAAATACTGGATAATTAAGCACAATTCCCCGATTAATTCTAGCACAATAAACTAAGTGAAGTGAACAACTTTCCCGATTAATTCTAGCACAATAAACTAAGTGAAGTGAACAACTTTCCTCGTTTCGACTACCTCTGTTATTTCTGTTGGAAGCGGATGCTTCTGGTGGAGGGCGTTGTCCCCTTAACCTCGCGATTACTTCCTCTTGCTTACGCTGGGTTTCTTGGTGTTGTTGTATGACTGGCTTGTTGTTGTTGTATGACTGGCGCTTGCGCTTCTATTTGGACCTGTAGTTCCCTGATCAGATCCCTGCCTGGTGCTATTGTTCTCCATATTCCTTGTGGTGACCATTTAGTATTCAAATCCTCGGCCCCACGGTGGGCGCCAACATGTTTCGGTATGAATTTAGTGGAACCGAGAGACTAACCTGGTAGACGCAACTTTGACACTGAACCGTTCGCTTTAGCATCCGGACGCTCGCTCTCGATTGAATACTTTTTGGATGTAAATAATCTAGTGATGTAAATGTGAGTGTGAATAGGACTTACCTGGCTTGCGGTCCTGGCTTTGTATTTATAAGTTGTTTTATGGACATTAAGTTGACATAAGCCCAATAAAATATAAACAGAATAAAAATATAAACAGAAATAAAAATATAAACAGAATAAAATATAAACTTATCCTAACTGCTTAGATTTTATTTGCGTCATATGGGAACGTTTTATCCTTTGCCGGATTCATTAGCTTAGTTATACGATCGCGGGCTTGATAGTGGTACCACTCAATTAAGAGCCAAAGCTCTTCAAATCACAATCCTAACTTGGGCGTCGGAGTGCCTTTTACAGGTGCCTCCCCTGTGAATGAGAGCGATCCCCCTCTGCTGGTGAATGAGAGCATGCGAGTCAAGGGACGAACGTGCGGTCTATATTGTAGGAGAACGAGCAGCAAAGACATCCGGAAGCGGCAAAGTCACGTCAAAAAGGTTAGTGTCTCGGTCCCACAAAATATCTACCGAAACTGTGCTCACAAGACTTGACAAGCGCTGGAACTTGCACTTGAGAACCGAACGGTTATGACAGTTCATGACCGAACGTTAACTCTGAAGGTAGAGGTTGTGGAGGAAGGAGAGAGAGAAAAAAAAAGTATTTAATAAAGATATAGGAAAGAGAGAAAAAGGTGGGCTTTGCAGGAAAGGCAGAGGAAAGAGAAGAAAATGTACATATTCCTTCGCCACGTCAGGCATTTAAGTTTTTGTTTTTGTTTTTGTTTTGTGGGCTTTTTTTGCCCCAACCCACACAGGCGAGGGTCCAATCTCATAAAATAGGCTGTCTTGACAGGTCTAGTAAGGTTTTTTAAAGGTTTATCACCGTACCAGTTCGGAAGCCTTTCAATTCGAAGAAAGCTCAACCATGGTCGGTTCGAAAGCAAATGCAAAGTGGCAAAATCAGAAGCGAAAACAAAGATTCGATGCCGAACCTCAAACTTCTTCCAAACGACACCGTTCTGATATTGCTCCGAAGCGTCACGGTCCCTGGAACAATCTTCAACTCATACTTTGCATCCAAGACAAAGACAATGATCTTTCCAGGTTACTTTCTATTTTGTAATCATATTTTCATTTCGTATCACAAAAGTTTCATATCAATGCTTTGGACAATGCGTGTGTGCGTGAGGAGGGTGTTACAAATTTTGAACTGTTTTAATAGCGAGTCATCTTCAACAATATTTAATCTGTTTTTTCCATTTTCTATTGGCTATTCGAATGGGCAATGAGATATTTTTTTTTTCTATTCTTCACAATGAGTATGTCTTAGTGCAGTAAGGTTAATCAGGCATTTAATTTTGTGCGGTCAAGTGTGGAAAATGGTGTTGGCGCTTGTCAGGACTGTAATACTATAAAATTTCCAAGACTAATATCTTACCTTAATGATTGGATCGTGACATTGCTGTTTCCTCCAAATGGGAAGAAAAACTGGGGCGATGGGAAGACACCACAGCTCGAGGGGATTGAGGCATATATGGATATTCGTTGTTGGGAGATATTCAAGTTATGCTTGCAGGAGTCTTTGAAGTTTCACGGCTCTTGGAGTATGCCCCGGAACCTCCTACAAACTGTTCAGTTTGTTGCCAGAGATTTTCTGTCACTGCTAGAAGACACCTGTATTAGTTCAGGAGAAGTTATTATATCCGAAGAAAGGTTTAAACTGTATGGTACCGCTATTGATTGTGTTTCGTTGGTATTCTTGTCGCATGGTGGGTTGTCAAATAAAAACTTGGAATTGTGGGTTGACACAACCAAGGTGTTGCTTGATCTTGTGCTGAAAACTTATAACAATAGCCTTGATGACAGCAATGTCGGTGCTCTTGCACAACGCTTTCTCTGGTCAGTGCTTCTGCCATTCTCTAAGTTGAGTGTCCAGCGAGCTAAGAAAGGATTTCATAATTTTGTGGATAAACTTCTTGAGCCGTTGTTGCATTTATCTAGTGAGTTGCATCTTCGGGTTAATAGAAGTAATCCCATTTGGACGTCAAGATTAAAAGAGGCAGTGGAAGAAGTTCTTTCTCATGGCCTTTTTCATCAAGTGCATATTTCTGAGTTTTTAAGCCTACATGGTTCAGAAAATGATGTTACTGCATGTGATGAAAAATCAAATGACTCAAAAACAACTATTAAGAGTTATACTAGACATTTATTTGATGTACTCAATAGAATTATAGCTAGGAAGAATGCTATGGCAATGGGTAGCTTAGGCTTGTTATTTCATTTATATGCTACTTCAGCAAGAAAATTCAAACTGGATGAAGGGCTCAAGACAACAGAGAAAATAGGTGATTCAAGGCAACCAGTGCCTGGAAAACATTCTAACTCAAATACTATTTCTGCAGACATTCAAAAATCACTTTTTAATTTTTTTGGACTGATTATGGAACCCCTTTTGCTGAAGATTAATGCCTACATTGAAGTTGAAGTAGATGCCAATACCCTGTTGTTGGATCTTCATGGTTTACTAAAGTCTGTTGGTAATTTGCTTGCTAGTTTTATGCGAGAGAAAGTTTATTTGAGAACAGAAGACACATCTGGAGGAGCTTGTCTCAATTTCTTGAAGAAAATATTTAATACACTGATAACTAGTTCTACTAGTGTACTTCATTTCTCCAATTATGATACAACTAACAAGATGGAGATATATGGTTTGCCTGTTAATGAGATTCTAGTCGCTATGGGATATCTTTTGCAGATTGAATATGAGGTTATTGGTGAAGGCTTGGTAAATTTATGGCTTCTTATCTTGTCATTCTCTGCCATTAATTGCAATTTGGGGAATGCTTTTGATCAATGCTCATTACCTTGTGCTATACCTGCCCTGGAGTGCCAAACAATTCATCTCTACAGTCAACTTCGCCAGGTTCGTAATAAAATTTTTATTACTGGTCATTTATATTTTATTTCTTCTCACCAGATCCCTGTAGAGCAAGTTATGTTTCAAAGGTTCTGCATGGTTCCTCTTTGTTGGTGGTTTTATTCCTTTGTATCTTAGTCTCTTGGTGTTATTCTAGGTATGATGTTTGGAATGGGGCAGGGGGATGATGTTCGGGTGAAGGGAAATCTTTAATAAACTATTGTATTTTTGCTTTAATTCAGCTTATGTTGTATTTGTCTGCTTCTTATTATTCTTATTGTCCTCCAAGACTTGAATGGGGCAGGGGGATGATGTTCGGGTTAAGGGAAATCTTTAATAAACTATTGTATTTTTGCTTTAATTCAGCTTATGTTGTATTTTTCTGCTTCTTATTATTCTTATTGTCCTCCAAGACTTGGATGGAAATCAGGCTTGTTCTTTACATGTTTGAAATGCTATAGGTGGAAGTTGCTATTTTAGCACTGTGCAAAGCTATAAGGCTTATTATATGTCCTAAGGGTTATACTGAAGAAAGTTCTTCTAGGTTCTTGACATTTCTGTCTAATGAAGTTCATTTTGAAGCAGTTGAAAGGCTGTTATCTTCACAGAATTTCATTCATGCCATTTATAAAGCTGTTGAATCTATTCCAGAAGGGCAGGTGTGTGGGTGTATTAGACAGATAAGAGATGATATTTCAGAATCTCTCATGTGGATGAAAGATTTCTGTCCATTGGTTGATGGCAAGAAATTGCAATTTTTTAATCTGCAAGTGGAACTGTTTGGTAGAGGGCTATCTAGACTATATTGTTTAGTGCTTGGTTCGGTGACAGTCACTGATGGTAACCGCAATCTTTTTGGAGTTTCCATAAAAGAACTTATGGAATTAATGCGTCCCTACTTGAGTATTCTAGTTGGACAGCAGCCAGATACAATCTGCAAGTTCTTTTCTTCTGTCACAGGTCAAACTGTTGATCGAGTGGTTAGAAAGGGAAAATTTTTGAAGAAATTTGGTATGTCCAGCCAATGGGTTCTTGTGTTCTTCTTTCAGTTGTATTTGTCTTGCCAAACCTTATATAGGCAAGCAAGCCTTATGCCTCCTGATTTGCCAAAAAAGTCTGCAGAGGTGGTAGATTACACAGCATATTCCGCTTGGGAGTTGATGGACAGGATTGATGAGATAGACTTCGGCTTTTTTTCTTGGATTGTTCAACCCTCAGGTTCCCTCCTTGATGTTATGAAATTTATTTCTGACATATATCTTAAACATGGCCCAGATGATTCTTCCCCTTTGATCTATATCTTTCAATCTATGGCTCTTCGAAGGCTTGTTGACGTGAATAAACAGATTATATCGTTCAAGTATATGCAAAAGAAGCATTATTTGCAGAAGCCTTATAGATCCCAAATCAACACACTGAAGGAAGAAGCGGCTGGACTTACTAATTTTATTATGGAAAATTTATCATGTGTGTTTCAATCCCCAATCTTTGTTTCTGAATGTGTAACTTCTGAAGATGTAGTTTCTGTGGCTACTCAAAGCAACGAATGTGATCTAGGAGTTTATTTTGCTGACAGAAAGTCATTGCAAACACTCATTTGGTCTAATCTTTGCAAAAGTGTTGATGTTTGGAGCAACCATGCTTCAAAGAAGCAGATGAAAAAGTTCTTCTCACATTTACTCCATACTTACCTTCAAAGTGTAACAAGTAGATTTCAAGAGTCAGGTGTGCAAGACATTGACAAATTTAAGCTGCTCAAGAGGGTCACTTTGTCACAAATATCATCAGAACTTTTAAATGATTCACTTTTTTATAAACAAAAAGTAAGATCCTCCTTTTGTTATACACAGTTCCTTTTACCCTTCACACACAAACACCCATATTTAATCTTTGCAGTATTTGGTTTAGGTTTATAGCCATCTTTAATTTGTTTCTTGTTTAATGCTCTGGTGTGATATTTTGAGAAAGATAAAGTTACACCTATATGTCTTCATTTCATATTTTTGTTTCAGTTTGTCCACAGGAATCTGGCCTCAATATTCTGTGATGCTTTAGAGAAATCTGCACTTCCATTATTTAGTAATGTTCTGTGTACTGATGTGAATCTTTGGTCATTGCCTGATTGGGTTGAGTTTTTAAGCTCCCTTGACAAGTCAACAGTGCTTATTGATGAGAATAAAGAGATTCAGGTTGATTGTTCTGCTGTGGAAAGTTCAACCACTCATTTAGACAGCAAACTTCCTGCGGATATCAGCAAAGAAGAAAAGACTTTCCCTGTCACAGACAAAGTTTTTCGAGATTGCCACCATTTACTTGATCTCTTATGTTGGATGCAAGATATAAATGCAAGATCATTTTCATATCTCATGACTTGTATTTTCAACCTTGAAAGGTACACTCATCTCTCTGTTGGATACCTTATGGTAGCTTGTCCAGATAGAGAAAAGAACTTGTGTGTGCTATAAAGGTGAAAATTTTCAACTAGTGTTGAAGTAGGGCATTTCATGAAAAGACAAACTAAAAGCAAACAGAATGTTAAAGAGCTCAAAAGTCTTAATAGCAGACACATTGAGTCCGTTAACATTATCTATTTCTAATTTAATAGGAACCAGGAATTTAAAATAAAGAGACTAAATGGATGATTTTATTTCTTGATTGTGAGAATGAAGATAACCAGGAAAAAATTATCTGGAATGTGTTTCCCTTTTAATAACTAAGTACTTGTTCAATCCCCAAATGCTAACAATTCATAATGTGTGTTTCCCCTTACATCCTCCTATTTATTTATCTAAATAACCCTCTATTACTAGCTAATTGGCTAACTACTATAGCTATTCCTAACTAATTTTACTTTCCTTCCTGTCCTAATTCCTAACTAATTCTACTTTACTTCCTGTCCTAATTGCAAATACAATCCTATGTGTAGGTCGGAAAGAGTCCTTTTTCTTTGATAAGTTGTGTTGGAATAATTATTAAGTCTACTTATGTTAGTGTAGTTAGAAGGACTAAAGTAGTGAGCAGTGTGTTGGGTTATGGTAGGGTACTACGTGCTTATGAGAGAAGGAAGACAAGGGGGAGGTTAGACCGAACGGTGGGGAAGAGAGGTTAGGCCGAACGGTGATAAAGAGAGGTTAGACTGAACGGTGGAGGAGGAGAGGCCGAACGGTTGGAAGAGATGCCGAGTGGTGAGGACGAGAGGTTAAGCCGAACGGTGGAGGATGAGAGACCGAACGGTGGAGGATGAGAGACCGAACGGTAGTAATTGTAAAAGGCCGAACGGTTGTTTGTTAAAGGCCGAACGGTTGTTTGTTAAAGGCCGAGCGGTTGTTTCAGCTAGGAGGGAGCTGAGCGAATGAGTTAGTATAATGCAGCACTATAAATAATCTTTCTTGGATTGCTGTTGGTTACGTTATTTCTTTTGGGTATAGACTGGACATTTCTTGCCAGTGGAGGAAGGGAGGCTTCCTTGGGATACTTACTTGTAATTCTGTTTTACATACTTTACAGAATTAATAGAAAACATACGCATACATGCTTTCATTTCTGTTATAGTTTTTGAGTGAGGAGTGAACATCGATTTAGGTTTCTCGCTTAAAGAAACCTAACAGGTTATCTCTACTTACTGTACCTAGTGGTCTAGGACAGTTCCTTGACCTTCCATTTCCCTACTGTATCAACTCTTTATCAATATAAATAGTATTTTATGAGAAGGGTCCAAATAGCCCCCTAAAAATATATTTTTCTGTTTTTAATCTCAAGTGGTTACTTTTATTCTAATAGACTTGTCACTGTTTGTAATTAATTTTACTTCTGCTACTACCTAACCTATCTAACAGCCAACTAACTAACATTGTTTTTCTATTTATATTTTCTGTTAGGACTTAGAGAGTATAGGAGTAATGTTAGGACTTAGAGAGTATAGGAAAGGAGAAAAGGGAAACAGAACACTTAACTGTTAATCAGTTAAGTGAGGGGGCGGGAAAAGGCCTATATATTAGGACCCTTTAATGTTTCAGAAAGAAAGTTGAGTAATTTGTATGTGTAGACCGGTCTTAGCACCAGGTGGAGGAGGTTAAGCTCTTAAGATACAGTGTATTCTTGATTCATTGTTGTGAATACCATTCCTTCTTTACAAGTTCTTGATTGTTGTGTTTGAGATAGAGAGAGAGCTTGTTAGGAATTCCTTCCCGAATCTCTAACATTTTCACAACTCTATATTTGTCTTATATGTTTAAAAGCAAGAAAGTAATTGGATGAAAAGACAAAACCATCTCTCTTTGCACAGAAAATTTAAGATTTGTTTATGGTACATTCCTTTACCCTTACTGCAGAGAAAGAAATCCTTTACCTGTGATAAAAATGCTTTCCACACATACTTCAGTTTTTGTCCCAAAGATTTGTCTGAAATTTATTATGTGAAACAAATGGTTCCTTCTCAGTTCTGTCTACTTAAATTTTGCAGGCTTCTTGTCAGNTTGTTGTGTTTGAGATAGAGAGAGAGCTTGTTAGGAATTCCTTCCCGAATCTCTAACATTTTCACAACTCTATATTTGTCTTATATGTTTAAAAGCAAGAAAGTAATTGGATGAAAAGACAAAACCATCTCTCTTTGCACAGAAAATTTAAGATTTGTTTATGGTACATTCCTTTACCCTTACTGCAGAGAAAGAAATCCTTTACCTGTGATAAAAATGCTTTCCACACATACTTCAGTTTTTGTCCCAAAGATTTGTCTGAAATTTATTATGTGAAACAAATGATTCCTTCTCAGTTCTGTCTACTTAAATTTTGCAGGCTTCTTGTCAGTGCTCTTCTGTATTTTCAGTGTACAGTGCAACAGGATTATTATTGTGAGTACTTAAGATTATTTGTCTCGTGTCGGAAGGCATTATGGTATATATTAATTGGATTCTATGAGAAGGCGGAGACTATTCAATCATTACCAAACACAATTGTTTCTGAAAGTTCATTCCCAGTTTTATGGATTACAAAGTCATTATCTGTGGTTGTGGGGATTACAGAGGCATTCTCTGCAAAAGATATTATTTTATGTAAATCTATGATGTTTTCCTTGTTGGATTACACATCACATGTCTTGTCCAGCATAGGTAAATATCAAAGTGTAAATGCTTTTTCCATTAATAAAGAAGCTGAAGTGTCAAGTGAAGAGATCTCTAATCATATGATTTGCCATGAAGAGAATAATTTGATTACATCTTCTCAGAACTCCCCCAAGCTTGAGGCATTGAAATGTTTAACCTTTATGGATGAGAATTTGAAAGAGCATAAACACAGTTTGCTTGTTTCTATTAACAATTCCCCTCATAATGTCAGTGTGGGATTTGGTCTTACCATTGAAAACATCATTAGATTGTCGTCTGCAGTTTGTTGCTTTAGTAGAGTGTTGTGGGGCCTCACATCATCCACTGGCCTAACAGATGCTAAAGATATTGATGAAAAACAATTATTGATCTTGAAAAGTGAACATGCCTCTGAACTAAATAGTTGTATATCTTTTCTCATGGAGCTTTCTGATGTTTTTGTGAACAAATTTCTTGTTGAGAGTAACCAACTTTCCAATAGTTCACATAGTACGCAGCATTCTGAAGATCCAGTGATGCAGGTGTCTTTGTCACTAACCAATTTGGCACCTAAAGTTGTTGTTTCTAAGGCTAATACCTCAGCTGGTCCACAAAATGAATGTAAAGCTGCTGCAATTTGCTATACTTTATCAGTTGATAATGTCTCCAAGGGTATCAGTGATCTAGGAAGGGCTTTGAATCCAAAAGGTGAAAACTCTGTTGCCATGGTTTTGGCCGGGGTGGATTACTTTGAGCCACAGGGTCTAAATAAGCATTTTTTACGAAGTTTGGTAAAAGCTGATCACCCTGAAGTAGCTTTATTGCTGAGACAACTGCTAATTGCTTTCTCATCTCTTTTGAGGTTAAATTTGCATAGAAATGATCGTTTCTTACCTTCTAGTCTTGTATCTACTTTCATTGAAATTTCACAACTCCTATTACTAGAATTTGCAGAGATGGTTGTGGTCCCACAACAATCTGCTTTGCTGTTGTTTGATGGCGCTTGCAGCTATTTGAGAGAATTGGTGGGTTATTTTCCTTTTACCGATCCTACATCCTCTAGAAAAGTCCACACAGAATTGATTCAGGTTCACATGAGGGCAATAGGCAAGTCCATTTTGTTGCAAGGAAAAGGGCGAACACTAACCTTTCATGAAAGACAGTCAAGTGCAAAGCCACTTCATTGTGGATCAGTTGAAGCTTATTCTTCTACTGAATTGCACTGCTTTGCCTTGGATGAATTTAGAACCAGGCTGCGGAAGTCATTCAAAGCATATATAGAGAAGTCATCTGAGCTGCATCTTTTGTCTACTATACAGGTCATTGAGAGATCTCTAGTAGGTATTCTAGAAGGATGTACTGTGATTTATGATGTAAAAACAAGTAAAGATGGGGAGGAAATTTTGTCAGTTGTGGCAGGTGGCATTGATTGCTTCAGAATGATTCTTGAATTTGTTTCAGGTAAATAAGAACATGGCTATTTTGAACTAACATTTCTTTTAATCATTTAATTAAATTCTGCAAATTACATCCTTTATTTTGTATCCTTTTAGTTGTACTTAAAGTCATTACATGAATACTATATTCCGATTCACTTTAGAAATTTTGTAAATTTCAGTTGATATTAACTAAAATGTTATTACAGTTTTATTCAGAACACAAATCTGCATGCTTTTCCTTATGAAAGTCATTTTTAGATAATGGTTAACTCGCTCACTGATATGTTATGTTGTCTTTGACATTACTTTTTGGGAATCGTAACATTGCCTGTTACTTAAAAACATTGTCCTGAATTCATTCCTTTAATCCTTAAAGCAAACCTAAATTGACGAGTACCTGGTTATCAAACAAAGACTATCGCATGTTGGATGGAATCAATGCAAAATGGTGAATAAGGCAATACATTCATATTATCATTATTTAATGACAACTTTTTCTTTTTGAAGGTCGGAAAGGCTTGAAGATGATTAAAAGACACAGTCAGAGTTTAGTATCTGCTGTTTTCAACATTATTGTGCATTTACAGACCCTCCTTATTTTTTATGATAACTTGGCATCTGGAACAGTTGTCAGTACTCCTGATCCTGGGTCAGCCATTCTCATGGGTGTTGAAGTACTGGTTACAGTTTCTAGAAAACAGGCTCAATTCCCAATGGATGTGGGTCAAATATTACATATCCCTGCCGTACTCTTTCAGAATGTTTGTCAGTTTAGAGTTACTAAAGCGCCTGGTCCATCAGAACCATTGATGATTTCAGAAAAGCATATTTGTGATCCAGTAAAGAGAGTGGGCCACGTTGATCACCAGTTCTTAGTTAGCCTCTTCATTGTGTCTTGTCAACTATTGTGTACCATTATTATGCATCGTCCAAGGTTTGTTTTATTTTATCTTGTAAATCGCTCAACAAAGTACAGCTTCTCATTATTGAACGGCTTGAAATGACACATTTGCTATGGAATATATATTTGATGTATTTTGATAGCATCTATCTGCAATGTGCTATTGTAATCTTGACAATTAGATATTCCTTTGCCTTATTGTTAACCACATCTTGTGCATTTTTTACAATCATTCCAGTGAGTGCATACAGTGTGTTGCCCATCTTGAAGCTTCTGTTGCTGTTCTTCTTAATTGCTTGGAGACAGTTTCTGATGATGAATCAAAAATGAATAAGGGTTGCTTTTCTTCAGATGAGGAATTAAAATGTGCCTGTTTTATGAGAAGAATTTATGAAGAGGTTTGTGACATCCATATTTAAATGAATTATGGCCTTAATTTAACAAACTAATCTCCTTTTGCTTACACCCGTTTGTTTTGGTATTCATGATGCAGATAGAACAGAAAAAAGATATCTTTAGTCGTCAATGTTCTCTGTTTTTATCCAATTACATACGGGTTTGTTCAGGATATGGTCCCAAGAGAAGTGGCATCAGAAGGTTTATTTACGTCTCACTGTTTAGTTATTTCATTCTGTCAAAAGTTTACCAGTTGAGGATTATTACATTTCCATCAAACTGCAGAGCCCCTTTTCTGTTTGATTTTCTTATTAAGCGTTGTCCTTCTGAAAATGCATCTAAATGCCTAGAACAATTCATCTATATAATGTCTGTCTTGCTCATACATATCTTTGAACTGAATAGCAAGTAGAAAGTATTAATAGAGTGATGTAGATGACCATAACCATTACAAATATTAATTATTGCATAGTTAATTACAGAGAAGTAGATGAAGCTCTACGACCGGGTGTCTATGCTTTAATAGATGCTTGCTCAGTTGATGATCTTCAATATCTTCATACTGTTTTTGGAGGTAAGTAATTACGACTCAATCAGATTTTATGAAAGGAATTAAAAGAACAACCTAATTTCAATTTTGTTTTTGTAGAGGGACCTTGCAGAAACACCCTGGCCAGTATTTTGCATGATCGCAAACTCAACAAATACGAAGGAAAAGTTTGATCTTGAAATTTTATTTGCTGATAGTTTTTTTGTGTACTCCTCTTTTGGCTGAGAGCAAGCTATTCTTACAACTGGAAATTATGTGATTATTTTCCCGAGGCGGAGACGTTACCAGATTCTACGCACGCACGGTGAGAAGATACATCTGCCAACATGCTTAAGAAATTGGCTATGTATCAACTGGGTCGATGTGCAACACTATTCTGGTCTAGGGACGATAATCTTTCCATGTTCAATATTTACACCTGTGCATGAAAGATCAATGTATTCTAATTACTTTATAATGAACCCACTGTTGGATAAATTGAATTTTAGTCAATAAAGTAATACTTGAAAGGTTTATGATAGCATTCTTTTCATGAGTTAGGTAAAATCCAAAATCAAAAATAATAATAAAAAATTATAGTAGATTAATTTATGTTTTTTTGGTAGTGTTATAATTTTTATTGGATAATAAATTATTTTATAATTTTATTAATTTATTGTTTTAATGATATACTGTGCTGTTTGTAGAATTTATATGGATATTTTTGTGTATTTTTAATGAAAAACTTGTAACTTGGTTGGGGTTTGTTAGTGTGGTGCATTGGTAAGGATTCAAACCTAACTAACTTTTGCGCATGTATTTTTTTTATAAAGTTTACTTTTTATATTTCTTAATATATATTTAACTTTTAAAATTTTTTGGTTGAACACAACTGCAAACCCAAATTTTTGTAGATAAAACTACAAAGCTTTTTTTTTGTGGATAAAACTACAAAGCCATATCATATAATATTCTTCCCTAACAATTTTTAAAGTTGTAAACCTCTTTCATACGATTTTTTGATGACAAACTCTTCGTAAATTTTACCAATAAAACTACAAATCTTTCTTAGTAATAGGTTTTGTTTTAACTACACTATCGCCAAAATCAGAATGTTTATCACCTTGGGTGGAAATTTTTCTCTGTGAATTATTTTGATGGTAACATTTTGTCCGTGAGTTGCGTGTTTCACTCCCTCTTCTTCCAGGTTTCACACAATTTGTAACATCCAATTTAGTAATATAAACTACTAAAATGAATCTTACATTAATAATGATATAACAGAATTACAGATCTTTTGAAGAATAAAATTCTTCACCTGAAGAATAAGAGTAGAACCTACTTTGCAAGCTTCACTCCCAACCTCCCGCTAAGTCAACTAAAAGATTGTATCCCTAAGCTCACACCATTAAGGTAATCATCGCAATAGAAAAACCACAAACAAAGACAGAGCACAGAAAATACAAGGGTGAGCTAGTTTACAATTGAGAATATATATATATATATATATATATATATATATNTTATTATGTGAAACAAATGGTTCCTTCTCAGTTCTGTCTACTTAAATTTTGCAGGCTTCTTGTCAGTGCTCTTCTGTATTTTCAGTGTACAGTGCAGCAGGATTATTATTGTGAGTACTTAAGATTATTTGTCTCGTGTCGGAAGGCATTATGGTATATATTAATTGGATTCTATGAGAAGGCGGAGACTATTCAATCATTACCAAACACAATTGTTTCTGAAAGTTCATTCCCTGTTTTATGGATTACAAAGTCATTATCTGTGGTTGTGGGGATTACAGAGGCATTCTCTGCAAAAGACACTATTTTATGTAAATCTATGATGTTTTCCTTGTTGGATTACACATCACATGTCTTGTCCAGCATAGGTAAATATCAAAGTGTAAATGCTTTTTCCATTAATAAAGAAGCTGAAGTGTCACGTGAAGAGATCTCTAATCATATGATTTGCCATGAAGAGAATAATTTGATTTCATCTTCTCAGAACTCCCCCAAGCTTGAGGCATTGAAATGTTTAACCTTTATGGGTGAGAATTTGAAAGAGCATAAACACAGTTTGCTTGTTTCTATTAACAATTCCCCTCATAATGTCAGTGTGGGATTTGGTCTTACCATTGAAAACATCATTAGATTGTCGTCTGCAGTTTGTTGCTTTAGTAGAGTGTTGTGGGGCCTCACATCCTCCACTGGCCTAACAGATGCTAAAGATATTGATGAAAAACAATTATTGATCTTGAAAAGTGAGCATGCCTCTGAACTAAATAGTTGTATATCTTTTCTCATGGAGCTTTCTGATGTTTTTGTGAACAAATTTCTTGTTGAGAGTAACCAACTTTCCAAAAGTTCACATAGTAGACAGCATTCTGAAGATCCAGTGATGCAGGTGTCTTTGTCACTTACCAATTTGGCACCTAAAGTTGTTGTTTCTAAGGCTAATACCTCAGCTGGTCCACAAAATGAATGTAAAGCTGCTGCAATTTGCTATACTTTATCAGTTGATAATGTCTCCAAGGGTGTCAGTGATCTAGGAAGGGCTTTGAATCCAAAAGGTGAAAACTCTGTTGCCATGGTTTTGGCCGGGGTGGATTACTTTGAGCCACAGGGTCTAAATAAGCATTTTTTACGAAGTTTGGTAAAAGCTGATCACCCTGAAGTAGCTTTATTGCTGAGACAACTGCTAATTGCTTTCTCATCTCTTTTGAGGTTAAATTTGCATAGAAATGATCGTTTCTTACCTTCTAGTCTTGTATCTACTTTCATTGAAATTTCACAACTCCTATTACTAGAATTTGCAGAGATGGTTGTGGTCCCACAACAATCTGCTTTGCTGTTGTTTGATGCCGCTTGCAGCTATTTGAGAGAATTGGTGGGTTATTTTCCTTTCACCGATCCTACATCCTCTAGAAAAGTCCACGCAGAATTGATTCAGGTTCACATGAGGGCAATAGGCAAGTCCATTTTGTTGCAAGGAAAAGGGCGAACACTAACCTTTCATGAAAGACAGTCAAGTGCAAAGCCACTTCATTGTGGATCAGTTGAAGCTTACTCTTCTACTGAATTGCACTGCTTTGCCTTGGATGAATTTATAACCAGGCTGCGGAAGTCATTTAAAGCATATATAGAGAAGTCATCTGAGCTGCATCTTTTGTCTACTATACAGGTCATTGAGAGATCTCTAGTAGGTATTCTAGAAGGATGTACTGTGATTTATGATGTAAAAACAAGTAAAGATGGGGAGGAAATTTTGTTAGTTGTGGCAGGTGGCATTGATTGCTTCAGAATGATTCTTGAATTTGTTTCAGGTAAATAAGAACATGGCTATTTTGAACTAACATTTCTTTTAATCATTTAATTAAATTCTGCAAATTACATCCTTTATGTTGTATCCTTTTACTTGTACTTAAAGTCATTACATGAATACTATATTCTGATTCACTTCAGAAATTTTGTAAATTTCAGTTGATAATTAACTAAAATGTTATTACAGTTTTATTCAGAAAACAAATCTGCATGCTTTTCCTTATGAAAGTCAGTTTTAGATAATGGTTAACACGCTCACTGATATACTATGTTGTCTTTGACATTACTTTTTGGGAATCGTAACATTGCCTATTACTTAAAAACATTGTCCTGAACTCATTCCTTTAATCCTTAAAGCAAACCTAAATTGACAAGTAGCTGGTTATCAAACAAAGACTATCACATGTTGGATGGAATCAATGCAAAATGCTGAATAAGGCAATACATTCATATTATCATTATTTAATCACAACTTTTTCTTTTTGAAGGTCGGAAAGGCTTGAAGATGATTAAAAGACACAGTCAGAATTTAGTATCTGCTGTTTTCAACATTATTGTGCATTTACAGACCCTCCTTATTTTTTATGATAACTTGGCATCTGGAACAGCTGTCAGTACTCCTGATCCTGGGTCAGCCATTCTCATGGGTGTTGAAGTACTGGTTACAGTTTCTAGAAAACAGGCTCAATTCCCAATGGATGTGGGTCAAATATTACATATCCCTGCCGTACTCTTTCAGAATGTTTGTCAGTTTAGGGTTACTAAAGCGCCTGGGTCATCAGAACCATTGATGATTTCAAAAAAGCATATTTGTGATCCAGTAAAGAGAGTGGGTCACGTTGATCACCCGTTCTTAGTTAGACTCTTCATCGTGTCTTGTCAACTATTGTGTACCATTATTATGCATCGTCCAAGGTTTGTTTTATTTTATCTAGTAAATCGCTCAGCAAAGTGCAGCTTCTCATTATTGAACGGCTTGAAATGACAGATTTGCTAGGAATATATATTTGATGTATTTTGATAGCATCTATCTGCAATCTGCTATTGTAATCTTTACAATTAGATATTCCTTTGCCTTATCGTTAACCACATCTTGTGCATTTTTTACAATCATTCCAGTGAGTGCAGACAGTGTGTTGCCCATCTTGAAGCTTCTGTTGCTGTTCTTCTTAATTGCTTGGAGACAGTTTCTGATGATGAATCAAAAAGGAATAAGGGTTACTTTTCTTCAGATGAGGAATTAAAATGTGCCTGTTTTATGAGAAGAATTTATGAAGAGGTTTGTGAGATCCATATTTGAATGAATTATGGCCTTAATTTAACAAATTAATCTCCTTTTGCTTACACCCGTTTGTTTTGGTATTCATGATGCAGATAGAACAGAAAAAAGATATCTTTAGTCGTCAATGTTCTCTGTTTTTATCCAATTACATATGGGTTTATTCAGGATATGGTCCCAAGAGAAGTGGCATCAGAAGGTTTATTTACGTCTCACTGTTCAGTTATTTCATTCTGTCAAAAGTTTACCAGTTCAGGATTATTACATTTCCATCCCACTGGAGAGCCCCTTTTCTGTTTGATTTTTTATTAAGCGTTGTCCATCTGAAAATGCATCTAAATGTCTAGAACAATTCATCTATATAAAGTCTGTCTTGCTCATGCATATCTTTGAACTGAATAGCAAGTAGAAAGTATTAATAGAGTGATGTAGTAGATGACCATAACCATTACAAATGTTAATTATTGCATAATTAATTACAGAAAAGTAGATGAAGCTCTACGACCGGGTGTCTATGCTTTAATAGACGCTTGCTCAGTTGATGATCTTCAATATCTTCATTCGGTTTTTGGAGGTAAGTAATTACGACTCACTCAAATTTTATGAAAGGAATTAAAGGAACAACCTAATTTCAATTTTGCTTTTATAGAGGGACCTTGCAGAAACACCCTGGCCAGTCTTTTGCATGATCGCAAACTCAACAAATACGAAGGAAAAGTTTGATCTTGAAATTTTATTTGCTGATAGTTTTTTTGTGCACTCCTCTCTTGGCTGAGAGCAAGCTATTCTTATAACTGGAAATGATGTGATTATTTTCCCAAGGCGGAGACGTTACCAGATTCTACGCACGCACGATGAGAAGATACATCTCTCAACTGGGTCGATGTGCAACACTATTTTCCTTAGAATATTTTCAACCGAGATTGAAAACGTGTCAACTAATATAACGGAAAGCCACTACCGAGTCTCTACAAATTGAATTTATATTTCTGGTCGAGGGACGATAATCTTTCCATGTTCAATATTTTACACGTGTGCATGAAAGATCAATGTATTCTAATTACTTTATGATGAATCCACTGTTTATGATAGCATTCTTTTAATGAGTTAGGTAAAATCCAAAATCAAAAATAATAATAAAAAATTATAGTAGATTATTTTTTCAGGTTATTTGTGGACAAAACTAGAAACTCTTTTCATAAAATTTGTACCAACAAAACTAAAATAGTTAGATGATACGATAAAATTGGTACCAACAAAACTATAATAGTTAGATGATATGATGTAATATCTTTTGGTAAGATGATTCAATAAAAAAAACCATATAAAACAAGCTTATAACATAATGAAGAATTGTTGTGATTAAAACAACCCTCAACCCCTTAACTTGGTTGTTTCTTCCTTCTTTATTTCTCGAAAACAATATAATATGGAACGGTCCTAAATACCGAACAGTCCTAAAGAGTGAGACCGAGTGGAAAACAAAAATGAGTGCAGAAGAAAGCCGAACGGTCTCTAACAATGAAGCATGTTAGAGACCGAACAGTGTAAATGTAAAACCGAACGGTAAGTAAAGGCAGAAACAGTAAAACGTGCAAAAAAGAAAACGCCGAACGAATCTACACGTAGTAAAAGACCGAACGGTTTTAACATGCAGAAATGCAGAAAACGAAATTTGATGCATAAACTAAATGCAGTGCAGCGGAAACGAAAATGCAACAGCGCTAACCGTTCGGTGTAGCAGTTCTCACCGTTCGGTTAAATGAAATTCATGTACCAAGGCTCTGCCGTTCGGTTCAGTAGTGCTCGGTGTCCACTACAATTCGTATATGCTTCCACAGACCGTTCGGTCATGTATTCTAAGCCGTCTGGTGCATGCTGAAATAGTTGGTTGCCGTTGGGTTGCTTAGTGCTCGGTCATTAGTACTCAGCAAGTCAGTTCGCTGGTGACCGGTGCAATATTTAGCAGACCGTTCGGTAATGCACTCTCACAAACACACACTTAAACGTTCGGTTCTATACCCCATGTTATTTCCTCCCGTTCGGTAAAGTATATAAGTGTGCAGAACCGAACGGTAAAGTGTGTTTGTGTGGAGGGCCGAACCGGCTGGACTAATGATAAATGATCAGGCTTAAGCATGAGTCTGTTAAGCATGTTAGACTAGATAAGCTTGTTCTATATGCTAGAAGTGATTGAATCAACACGAACTTAATAATTATCATTGATTGTGTTTAGCTAAAAGCAAGTGTGGGTATGGTAGGTGTTTCGGCAGGATTTAGAACCCTAATCCAAAACATTCAAAGTTGTCTGCTCTGATGTCCAGTTGCGTTGTCTTCTCTTCTCCCATCCATCCAGTTGCGATGTTCTCTGTTCTCCTTGTCCAAGCCGCGGGGAAGGGTGCCTGCCAAAGACACTCTGACGCTCAAGTAAGTGACCTCGCGTAGTATGGATAAGCACTGTCCGATATACGTTAAACAAGATTTGAAGTGTCCTGTATAGGTTCGAGCGATAGTCAAATCGTTGAAGCCTGTCAAGTTGCAAGCTTTTTATACATAATTTTATCTGTAAGTCAAATATATGAACTCCAGGAATGATGCGCCGCCTTGAAGGTGGCATTTTTCTAAAACTGAATGTCCCCTATACCGAGCGATTACCTCACGTTACTCCACTGACGCTAAGTGCATATTTTGAGCCACTAAGCAATTCTTTCCAATGATGTACTTCTGTTCTAGCGGAAAAAGTAAATAATTTGACAAATATAATTGTGCAATAATTCTAAGGCAGAGGAAAAGAATAATGTTTGGTTAAGATCTGAGGTTCTCCAATGTGCATCAGGCGGAGGAATTATTATGCCGATTTACACCACCACTATTTAAGCAGTTTTGAATTGGGACAGCAGTATGCATTAAGGTTGCCACCACAGCCATTTCTCCCCCTCCTTTGATAGAAACTCCAACTCAGATGGTTTTCTGATGCTTCTAGAGTATCTTGCCTGTAATTCGGTTTTAAGATAAGTATGAGGCCTCTCTCTGTTTGTGAATTTTGCTTCACCACTTTCATTTGAGTTGTTGAGCGTCACAGTGATTCCTGAGGAAAGCACACAAGGCAGTAGAACAGTATAAAATGTTTTTAGGAAATAAGAAATAAGTACTATTTTTTCTGAAATCAATCTGAGTAAATAAGAATATTGGCTCAAATCGCCTCTAGACGCTGCCTGCAACAGTGTTGTCTGAGCACGCGACGGCGCTGCACTCGCCGGTCCATAAGATCAATGTCTGGGCACGCGGCCCCTTGAGGTCACTACCCACGGCCAACAGCTGCGCCGCAAGTCCCTTCTTCACCGCCGCGAGCTCTTGCCCGCCCGAATCCGATGCAGCTCGGCGCTCACTTCGGCAACGGCGGGTACCTCATCAGTTTCTGAGCAAGAAGATTCACAAAAATTCTAAACCAGGAGACTATAATAACGCTGGTCCAATGGTCTTAAACCTTTCTCGTGATAATAAAAAGGGGGAAATGTTAGTGAATATGGAAGGCAATGACGCGCAATCATCGCCGAGGCGGTCGAGCCGCTCGGCACGGCGAATGGCGCGGAGGTAGGGGCGTCCTCAGGGTCCTTGGCGAGACGATCGATTTGGTGTTCAGAGGCACCGTTTGGCTTGGCGATGACGGTGGAGAGGCCATCGTCTGTGAGAAGCAGGTTGGTGGGGGACTGGAATGAGTATGCGGCTGTTGATGCAGAAGCCACCGAAGTCGCGGACTGCGCGGTCCTTGCCGGAACTGGGGTAATAGAAAAAACTTTCGATGTGAACCTTGACTTGGAACTTATAGGCGAAACTGGTGCCTGGATGAATGGGAGCAGTTGGTGCCTCCTACGCCTTCTTGCCACGAGTGTTTCCTTTGCTGGATCCCAGTCCAAAGGAAAAGGAATGGCTCGTCAAGGTTGCTGAAAACTTTCATGAAGGCGTTGTTGCTGCTGGTGAAATAATTGTACATGCCAAAAAATTAAAAATTTTGACTGGACCGTATGGTCCTCCTGGTCGAACGACTCTCCCAAGACAGACCGAACGGTTGTCCCAAGGTCGTCCACCCAGGTCACCATCAGGACCGAGCGTCGAAGCAAACGCTGTCCTTTGACCGACCGTACATAAAACGAGCGATCCTCGAAAGGTCGCCCATCCGGGTCAAGCGTCCAAACTGACCGATCGTCAGAACCAAGAGACCGTCCACCCAGGTCACCATTAGGACCGAGCGTCGAAGAAAACGCTCTTCTTGGACTGACCGTACATAGAACGAGCGATCCCCCAAAGGTCGCCCATTCGGGTCGACCATCAAGATCGAGGGTCCAAGCTGACCGATCAGCAGAATCGAGTGCCGCCCACCCAGGTTGACTTCCCTGGTTGACCACCTTTCTGACCTACCGTCCCGACCGACCCTCACTCGGTCGACTACACGGTTAGACGCTAATGATTCATTAAAGCCCTTAAATGAAGATTAAGGTACGATTGGGCCGTTATCAGGCCCACGAAAGGTAAAAGCCCATTACAATCAGTATAAATAAAGATTCCAGGTATGATTTCTGGACAGATTGCTTACAATGCAATATACACATGCCTTACAGACCACTTGGTCATGTTACTGACTTAAGTGTCGGAGTGCCTTTGACAGGTAGACGACCGCCGGCTTGGAGAGAGAGGACGAATACTACAACCAGGACTTGAAGACGAGAGAGCCCGTTCGGCCCTTCCCAGTGCGTCCAGCCCTCAGCCAAGAGGTAACCGTCCGGTTTTCACCAGCCTCTAGTGCCCCCTAGAGACAGAGCCACTCGGTCTGCTTCAGCTCGTGAGAGCGTCCGTCCGTCACCAAGGGTCCGTCCGATCCGTAGCATGCGATATTATTCGTCCGCCAGTCTTTACCGTTCGTGAGTGTTTTAATAGGTCCTACCAGATCCGGTCGAAACATTGACTATGGTCACCTAGGTTATGACTCCTCCAGTACAAGTTTCTATACAAATCCTGGATTTTGTTCCTTGTAAACGATTACAAGTGTATTTTTTGGTGCAAAAGTTTCAAGACTTCATCTAAGTTGTTCATCTCATAAATATTGTTCTTTTCCTCAATCATGGGGTGTCCAAACATGACTTTCCAGCCTTTACTCACACTTAAACACCAAAATCAAGGGAAAACCAGTGGATTTATGCCAAAAAATTAAAAATTTTGACTATGGTTACCTAGGTTAGCAGACTCCTGTAGTACAAATTTCTGTACAAATCCTGGATTTTGTTCGTGTAATCGTTTACCAATTAGTTGTAACTGTGTTTTTTGGTGCAGAAGTTCCAGGACTTCACCTAACTTCATCATGTCACAAGCATTGTTTCATTCCTCCATCAAATACATCATTACTGATCAAAGTGGCCACTTTATTCATTAACAATTCAAACAAAACCTCATTTAACAATGGCAATAACAAAGGAAATTCAATTAACATTAATAATATGTACAATTTTGTATTACTTTCTCTTAACATTGAACAAAAATATATTCCAAATTACAAACATTTGTTCATCTATGTACAATTTTGTATTACTTTCTCTTAAGAAATCTATACAAATATCACTCATATTTTATTGGTTTAATCCTTTTTGACGTCCCTATTTGTGTAGGAATGTCTCAGATAGGTCCTCGTTTTCTAAAGTGTATCAAAATGGTCCTTAATTTTGAAAATTGATATCAATTGAGTCCTTTCCGTTAAGTTGGCTGGACGGCGTTAAAAAAATT